ACTCAAATTTGTAATAGAAGCATCACACGGTAATGATGAAAGCCAGGGCGGAGTGGGGAGTGGGGAAAGAGACATTTTTTCCATACACCACAGAAGAGATTTGTAAGAGAATTTGCTTCAGTAAGAATAAGAAACTTATCTGTAACTTTTGTTAAGCACTTAGATGAAACTGGAATTCCTTAGGCCATGTTCTAATGTTTGTTTCATAAGAAACCTCCGGCATATTATAGTATATTGGATTTTATAGACCGCTCTACATTGCAATGCTGACGGTTGCTACAACCAATTCCCTCTATACACAGCCAGAATAATGGAGATACTAAAAAAAAAGTCAAAATATTTCAACTATCATAAAGTCAAAATATCAAATATGCATGCAGTCAAAATCAATTATTTCAAGATGAAAGTCTTTGGAGAATTAAGTGGGCTTAAGTTGCTACAAAAATTACTTAGAGGAACATCATGGCAAGCTGAATTTCACACTTCTTGCAGTTGAGTTAAGCTGAGAAGCAGATAAAGACACACCAAGTAGAAATTCTCGAATGCTTCCTACCATCCCCACCTGCCGACAGGCTTCAGTAGCTCTAGGGTTTGGCAGCTGCTGGGCCCCAGGAGACGGGTGATGGGCTGAGGTCTGAGCTCTGAGGCTTGCACTGGTGATCACACTTACTGCTAAGTAACTACCTGGGGTAACTGTGTCTGCCTCTGCCCACCCTAACACATGGTTTTAAAGCAAAGGAGAGGAAAAAAAAAAAAAGAAAAAGAAAAAGAGAAAAAGAAAAGGAAACTTAGTAGTTGCCTATGTTGTCTTTTGAGTTCAGCAAGTCTCCATTCATTGACTTTAACACCTACAGAACTCAAAGCAAACCATTCCAAGGCTTCATCTGCACAAACACCCTACCAAGTGACTTAAAGAGCCCAGGTGCTCAGTTATTCGTCCTCAAAGTCAAAACGCCTCTGTCTGTATTTTACAGGGTGAAAAAAAAAAAAAAAAAAAAACTTTCAAGCACTCTCTAACATCTATTTCCCAGATAGAAACATTACCAGTGCCTTACTGCCACCTAGAGATATTTAACTGTAAATGAAAGAGTGAAAATGCAAGGTTTGGGTTTAAGTAAATACTGTTTTTGAAAAATATCCTGAAACAAAATCTGTATTTAAAATATTTTCATTTCAAGCTAAATATGTATCCTACTTCCAAAGCAGAACACAAGTATGTAACAGAAAGGAAACTAAAAGCCAGTACAGCGTAACTGGTCAGCTACCCAGTTCTAGGAGGCAGAGGGAAGTTCATCCCGGTTCAAGTCTTGTGACTCAAGAACTCAAAAGGAAGTAAAACACATTTTACCAAGAAGACTGGGAATAAGCGTCAATATAGGAAAGTGCTAAAAGGCTTAGAAACCTCAGGGGGGAAGAGAGGAAAAAAAAAAAAAAGGGACTGAACAGACAGAATTTTTTTGACTCTCTTTAATTTAGCATTTCCCACTTTAGCTTTTCCTATTAAGGATATTATTTACAGAAAGAAGGATTTCTCCTTTCACCTGTTAACTCATAAGAGATATACTGCCCGGAACTGTAAACCATAACTTATTAAAGCAAACAAATGGAAAAAGAAAGAGGAAGAGTGGATCTAGATCTTGGTATACAGCTGATCTCCTGTCATTGGAATGCCAAAAGCCTGGTATTTTGTACAGAAAGCAACCAAATCAGCCAGGCCAGTGTAATGCGGGAATTAAGGAAGCCCTGTTCCCCGAGCTCGCCCACAGCACATCTGCAAGCCTGCACTTTGGAGAAGTTCCTCCTTTGTGCTCCTGTACAGCACAAGAGGCCTCCGGGGGCTCCTTCCACGATGCATTGCCCAGCTTGGGAAGTAAGCGGGCTGGGGTCTTGGGGCTGCAAAGCGCAAAACTGCTGGAAACCTGGGCTTAGTTTTCACAGGATTGAGGCCACAGAGTCCCCAGCTTCTCTGTGGACCATGGTATTAATAATGCTGCTGCCTCCCTAGTAGTCCCCAGCTTCTCTGTGGACCATGGTTAATACTGCTGCCTCCCTAGCGTGAATGGACTTACCCCCTGGGTCAGGAGTGCAGGCTGGTGCACGGAGGTATCTGGCTGTTGTCTGGCTGCCTTTCAATTTATCAGGAAGGCTCAAGGGTCCCAGAGAGATGATGGCACAGGCAGAAATCTCCAAGTCATAGCTCAATGTCATAAATAGTAACAGCCAGAGACCAAAGGTCTGCGTGTAGTTTTGCCTGGTTTCTGAGGTTACCTCTCCCTTCATGGTTTTCTTTTCGCCACTTCCTCATTTTTCTCGCTTCCCGTGACTCGGGGCAGAGACAAGCAGAGCTGGGGTGGATAAGTAAAACTGCTCCTCAAAGGCCATTTCCAACCCTATGTGAGAACTAGTGTGGAACTTGTGAATGATTTTCATCCATTTCATTGCACAGCCTGGCACTTCAGGTGCCTGGGCATGCAGAGCCGGCTGCTGGGCCTCTCCCAGAGGTGCTGTGCAGAAGCACCACCACCACGTGAACACAGACATCCTCCAAAAAGACACCATCCGAAGTCGCCTCTGGCCTGCACGGCAGATCAAGGCACACACTTGCACATAGGGAAGGGGAACCAGCAGTGGGGGAGGCAGACCCTGAGCTGCGAGCGCACAAACTCAGGAGGAAAGTCCCTCTGCCCAACTCTGGCAGCGGAAGGTGCACACCATGAAAATGCTTTTCCTCCTAAGCAACTACTGTCTCCCATGAGAAGAGAAGGACCTCCCTCTTTTTGCCTGGAAGTGAGTCTTGTGTTAGGGAGAAGCAATCCCGTATTAGCAACCAAATTTTTCATTTCTCTTCACAGTATTCCCAATCTAGACCTCATAATATATAATTATTAGCTGAGGAAAACCACTCAGCTGCTCTTTTGGGCCAGTCACATGCTCAGGAGCAGGTTGGACGTGGTTAATGATGAGCCACGGAAACAATTACAACAAAACCTGTATTCCTGCT